CCCCTGCTTGAGTAGCCCCCTGTTTGAGTAGCCCCCTGTTTGAGTAACCCCCTGCTTGAGTAGCCCCCTGTTTGAGTAACCCCCTGCTATGTTTCCTTTCAGAGCCGAGGTTCATGGCCGAATCAGGTACGTTCAGGGAGCAGGGAGAGCGTGACGGAGGTGCAGGATCCATATGGGAGATGGCTGCCTGTTAAAAGGCAGGGGAGATAGATTGGGAAACTCTGTGGGAAACTACTTTTAACTACATGGGGGTTATGGGAGACTGTACAGGAAAATGCTGTGTTGATGCAAGGGCTGGACAACAGATGGCATATTCAGCAACCCCCCCACTCTGCTGACTCCTCCATTCCCCCCTCTATGAATCTGTCACAATTACAGCAAACAAAAGAATAAGTTTAAAATATGATTTCAGTATTTAAAAATGGTTAGAGAATCGTGATGAGTTGTGGTGCAATTACTGATTTTCTGATCAGCCATCCGCTGCAGGCGAGATGTTTGAGAGCTCTCTGAGATGCGGACGAGGCCTCCGTCTCTCCGCTGCACAGCCATATACGGGCGTGAAGCTCCTTCAGAGCTGCAAACAGAGCCCTAAACAGCACATGAAAGTCCGCTGTCTCCGTGGCGACCACAAACACCAGACAGGATTCCAGATCTAATCAGATGGATACTTTCGAAAGTCACATCTGGGTGTAAGCTGTGGATGCGCGAGTGTGAACACAGAATTAAGGCACAATTTACACAACGTTTTTGGTTACAACTTTAGAAGGTTAAAACTACTGAAAAGAAAGCAAACATGGTACGTTTTGTGGTTAAAAGAATGAAAAGAAAATGTAATTGTTTGTTAGTCAGCCAACATAAAGGAAGAGCTGGCAAAGTGATTCAGAATTTGGACGATAAACCTGATGGTTCCTAGACGGCGTCCCGTAGGAGTACCTTCTTATATCACATATAGTGACTAAACTGTCTGGAATATTCTATGGCAACAATACTCGTGAGTTGGCTTACATTTCCAGGTGATGATCATATTGCTAACTAACTGTGAGGGAACAATGGCTGCTGATAGTAATATATTTTTACTTGACCTTTTTGTTTTGCCTTCAGAGGAGATATGCACCCTGGTAATAGCTGAAGTCTTCCCGGAAGATTCTGGAACATTCACCTGCACGGCAAAAAACAAATACGGCTCAGTGTCGAGTGTCGCTTACCTGCAGGTGAAGGGTATGGCCCTCGAATCGTGCTGCTCCCTCCTGACACAGCATGCCGTTACCCTTCTGCACGACTCCGCCCGGTCCTTAGGAACCCCGGACAGTCCACATTTTGATTCCTTTCCTGCTCACTGCTCACCTGAACCAAACGATCAAGAACGAACCAAACAAACCAAACAGCGCTGAACACCTGCTACAGGGTGTGAGGAAAAGTGTGGACCGACTGGGTTGAGAAGGACTGGATTAATATCCCAAAATACTGCCAACTTTGGCCAGAGTGAGATTTTCATTTCAAAACAAGTCTGCACACACAAACGCGCACATTTACATGTATGTAACAGTTTTATTACCTGGTAAATAATCTGTAGGGATGTAGCTAATTTTAGGTTTAAAATGAAATAATACAGGTGTGTCGTGAGATTTGTAGCATGAGCGTGAGTCTGACAGTGTGTGTCACACCAGATCTGCCGACCCGGCATGTACTGTATGTAAGCAATCAAGCTCAAATTAAATTAGTGAAATCTGAGATATTGTGCATTTGTAAGGCACTTGCTGACATGGTCCTGTATGATCCGTTTACGTGACTTTGACATTAAATAGCAGAGGCTTGTATCTAAACTGAGGCGAATGGAACATGACAGGCTCACAGCTGGCATGCAGCCAACTCTGCTCATTTTCCCCTCATTAGGTTATGAAGACGGTGGCGGCAAAGACAGAGTCACTGTGCTGGCAGAATCCGCTCAGCGTGTCAGAACCGGACCCATATCTGCAGATTCCAGCAGCCTGAAGGTCCCTGCAGATGTAGCTCTGATGGGTCACAGCTCTGCGAGGGATGATGCTCTTACCTTCAGCACGATGGCCGTCACTGAAGGGACTGTTATTAATCAAAATGAGCCACACCCAGCAATCGGCAGCACCGACCCTTTTACTTTAAGCTTAAACTCAAGGTTGGAGGATGGGAATGTCAATCATAGCAAGCCCCTCCCCAGATTGGAGGACATGAATGTTAATCATAACAAGCCCCTCCCCCGATTGGAGGATATGAATGTCAATCATAACAAGCCCCTCCCCAAGTTGGAGGACATGAATGTCAATCATAACAAGCCCCTCCCCTGGCTGGAAGGCTCCCATACCCATCATAACGAGCTCCTCCCCAGGGCTGAGGGGGGGCTTCTTCACCACCACGACTCGCCATCCAGCTTCCTCTCGCCAGACGTCTTCAGTCAGCACACCCTGGCCCGTCCCGGCGAGCCCTTCTGCAAAAGCCTCCCACCCAGCTCTGTGGCTCTGGGCCTGAAGGCCAGGGCGGATGAAGCCCAGGGCAGCCAGGGACCACCCCGGCCGAGCGTCAGCCCCCCGGAGGCCGCCGCCGGCCCGAAGCCCAGACCACAGGCAGCCCCGACTGACCAGGCTGAACCCTGGCTCCCCCCCTCGGCTGCAGACGCCCCCAGCTCCTGCCTGAAGCCCCGGCTGCTGAACCAGAGCGAGTCGCGCACCAACTCGCGCACGGGCCTGCGAGTGCACTTCAAGCTGCCCGAGGACGAGCCGGACAGCCCCCCCCCAGAGGACCCCCTTCCTTCCCCAGAGGCGCCTGCAGACTCCTCGCCGACGACGCCTCGCAAAGAGCCCCCTGCGGTGCGGGCCAAGCCTAGACTGTGAGCAGCCGCCCCCCAGATTCCGCGCGGATGATTTAGACGTTAGTCTGCACTAGTCGCATCGAGAGGGGGGACATGTATGTGTAACTTCATGCTCATATTGAGCCATGAAACTGATAGGCTAATGATCTCATGTCATCCCGCTGAGGGTCGCAGTGACAGCTTGGGGGCGCTGTGCCTGTGAGACGCAGGTCGTTTTTCACCACTGGGCCCTTAAGTGACACCCTTAACCCCTAATTTCTCAGCAACTGGCTGAATATTGCTTTGGATACAAATGCCTTTTAAGGAAATTGTAATGTCGTGCAGGTTTTTCTCAATGACGTTCTCAAAGCAGTTGAGTAATATAATATAATATAGATATAGATATAGATATAGATATAGATATAGCAGCTGGATGCCCTAATAGCGGCATGGTGGAGCCTCGGGAGCCGCCTCCGGCATTTAAGTGGCCCTGTTATGCAGCCGCACGGCTGAGGTTCCCCCCCCCCAGCTGGTGCTGCTGCCTCACGCCGGAGCGTAGCACCAGCTTCAGGAGGGGAAGCTTTGCGAGGGGGGAGGGGGCACAGAGACCAGCCTCTCTCCAAAACCGCCTGCAGCTGCTGGGGCGTCTCGGTAAGTGCCTGACGGTTTCATTTGCTGCTTTCGACTTTGAACATGGCTACTCGCTAGGATTTTTTTCGACTTCCTGCTTTGTTTAGATTCGCTCCACTTATCCAAACATGTGACTGGCTGTAGGGTAGGCAATTCTGTATTATTTATTAGTGGATGGTGGCTTGGCATCTGGCATGCGTGAGATGCCATGTGACACGGACTGGTGACAGGGTGACATTGTTTGCGTTTACACTTATTTTGCAAAGGTGTATTGAGCATTAAGGGGATCAGGTCTTCAGTTAGAGCCTCATGCAGCTCCCCTTTGAAGCTATAGGGGGCGCTCTATGACAGCCATCCTGTCAGCGTGGACGGGATTTATGAAGGATTCTGTAATAATGTAAATAATGTGGCTGCTGCTTGCGAGGGCCGCTTGTCTCCCCTGGCATTCTGCCTTCTGAAGCCTCCATGCCAAGGTGTACATAAACATCCAGAACCTTCCTTGCCTTATATGCCCAGAGGCTGGCGCTGGGTAGGTGGACAGCTTCAGCTCTGACGGCTCTGTGGGGCCCCTGAGACACAGCCAGTCAGCCAGGGGCCCCTGTTTGGCCCCCTGTGGCCACAGGATACAATCACAAGCTGCTGGGAGCTTCTACTTCTTAGCCACAGAAAGGTCCCCCCCCCCCCCGTGGGTAAATTTTGCAGTGGGCCCCCTCCGTCCCTCCACCTTCTCCTCTACTCTGAGTCCCTCCCCTTGGCCTCGGGCTGATTCTGCTTTTAAGGTCGAGGGACCATATTGATATACACGGTTAAAGTCTGCTTACTGTGCCGTGTCATGCGGCAGCCTTCCGCGGGAGAACATCGATAGCAAAGGACGATATTAAAATGTCTGAGAAGTAAAAGCTTGGGGCAGATTTAGTGACTTGGAATCGGCACGTGGGCAGATGGTTCCACAGTTTCCCCATAAATGACACCCCGTCACGCTGCATCTGAAATCAAGGTGATTTGCGATCATCATTTCACAGCATTCCAAAGTAGTTTGATTAAATTAGCACAAGCCGCAAACAGGTAAGACAGACCTGATCATGACTGACTTTTTGTAATTCTTGTATTGATATAAGATACTGCCTCAGTTTTTCTTTTTAAAGGTCCGTTTTAAATTTTCGTGAGACGAGAAGTAATTGTAACAAAATATATGTAAATATAGTCTGTTTTAGTTTAGCGTTAATCAGTTTAAGTGATATTAAATGTTGCTTAATTGTACACTCTTGTGGGAGAAGCATTTTATTAGTGTGATTCGATCGTTTGAGCAATAACTGAATGTGCATTTGTGTTTTCCTTCAATTCTTGACATTTCAAAATCTATTATTCTACTTTCTTTACTTTGGATTCCCGTGTGTATTTTGAAAAGAATTATCGTACAGTCTGAATTTTGACTACATTGCAGAAAACAAATTTATTCAGCCTTATAATCCTGTTGTTTGGAATATTCAAACTAGAATATGTGACGGCATTTGATGGTGTCTGTGACTCTGTGGTCTCATTTCTACTGTAGCTGCAGTTGATGGTGTCTGTGACTCTGGGACTCATTTTGACCATGACTGGATTTGATGGTGTCTGTGACACTGGGACTCATTTTGACCATGACTGGATTTGATGGTGTCTGTGACACTGGGACTCATTTTGACCATGACTGGATTTGATGGTGTCAGTGTCTCTCTGGTCCCAGTTTGCCCATAACTACTTTGGGACTATGAGCGCCCTGGGCTGTGACCCTTGACCCCTGTCCGACTCACTGTTTACTTCCTGTCTCTGCAGGGACCCTGCCCAGCTTCAGATCCTCCATAACCAGGTTCTCCTCGAGCAAAAGCAGGACTCGGCCCCTCCGAGCGTCCCCGATCCCGCACCCTGTTCTCCCCCCTCCCACCATGAGCCTCGGCACGGCCCCGTGAACCTTCCCATCACCCAGGCGCCTGTGGCCCCCGGAGCCCCCCCCAGTGGAGCAAACATGGCACAAGGCTTCAGCTACACCAGGCCCAAGGAGTTCATTGCCGCCCAGACGCAGTCCCCGTCCCGGAGTCTGTGCACCACTGACTCCCCTGTGCCCATGCTCAATGCCCTGGCTGCACAGATCCAGCAGAAACTGCCTGTGAATTCCGGGCTCCCGCCTTTCTCCCCGACACCCAATCAGCACGCAATGTTCCCAAGGCAGTTTCCCACCCGGGTCCTGCAGCCCCCGTCCAGCCCACCAACGTTCCTACCCTCCCCTGTCCACAAGCCCCCCGCCCCAGCCATACGCGCCCAGTCTCCCCCCCAGGTGTCCTCGCCTACCTCAAGCTGCTCCAGTCCCAGCCCCATCCAGGACCCCGTGGCCTTCCTCAGCTCTGTGCTGCCCTCGCTGCCCACGTCCCCCCCCACCAATGAGATGGGGCTACCCAAGAGCGCCCCTGTCCTGTAAGTGGGTTATTGTTCCCCTATTGTTCCCTCTGATTGGTTGGTCCCGCCTCCCCTAGTTGCTTCCTCTACAATCTGATTGGTTATCCCTGAACTAATGAGGCTTGTTTCTGATCTCAAGGGCAAAATATCGGCATGGGCCAGTTGTGAAATAGGGCTTTGCAGACAAAACAGATTATCATAGAAACAAAATATCAATGCAGATTTATTCTGGAAACTTTATTCTGGAAAGTCCTAAATATACCATTGTTAAGGGTTTCAGAGCAAAAAACCAAATCAAGCTAAATTCATATAATTTAAGTTAGTGGTTAGTGGTTATAATGAGCTTCCATTAAATGTTTTAGTGGGATATCGGTTTAGTGATATCGAATTAAACTTTGGAATTAGCGGATATCGAAGCTAACGGATAGCTGTACCCATCACTGCAAATGCCCCCCCCTTCCTTTTTAGAACCGTGAGTAAAATTTGAGCTGTTGATTAAATTTGCATGGGGCAGGGGGGCGTTTCTGAGTGGTGGATGGTGCCAGTGGATCGATTGTCCCGTTTTCCCCCAGGCAAGTCCCCCCCCCAGTGTCTGGGCTCCTGTTGACCCAGCTGCTGTCTGGACACTGCTGTGTCCCCTCACCTGTCCCCAGGTCACCTCAGGGCCTGGTGCGGAAGCTGTCCAGACCAGCTCACCCTGTGTCAGATGACGACATCCGCGACGGCAAAGAGACCGTGATGAACGACCTGGAGAGGAAGCTGCGACTGCGGGAGCAACATGGTCGAAATGGGCAGCAGGTACGGGATGCGGATGCAGTGACAGCATGGACGCAGTGCACGCCCCGACACTGCACACCCCAGCACTGCACACCCCGACACTCACTTTACCTGTGACACTGTTTATACCATGAGTGGATGAATATACATGTGTGAGACCTTCCTGAGGGAACCTGGATACCTCTGGATTGTGACGATCCCTTTTGGGGTGGATTCTTATCATGTTCCTTCATTTATTACTGGAAAACTAAGGTCAGATACTGCTGTGGTTGTTGTTTTTCCCTGGTGCTCAGAACTTGTCCCACCCCCCCCTCTCTTACACTTCTGTCTCTGACTGGCTACCAAGGCAACCAAAGAAATGACCCATAAGTCCTTTGTTCACTAAAACAGTATATAGGCACTCTCCATGGCCTCAGGCTGCGGCTTGGCGTTCTGGGCTTTCTGCTGCTCTGAAAGGCTGCTGGTGAACGGGGAGGTGCTGTGATGGATGTCACAGCATGAGCTTGGGGTCCCACAATCCCCGGGGCCATGCAGGCGCATGCTCGGCCCTGCTCGGCTCCCCCTGCTGGACAGCACATTTTCCTTGTGTGCTTTGCACGGGCACATTCGTAGAAGGAGCGGTTGCCATGGCGATGAAAACAGTGTTGCTACATGGTGATGTAATGCTTGCTCTTTGCTCTTTGTCCCCACGCGCTGGCATACAGATGCTGCACCAGCCTCGCCCTCTTTGTGCTGAGTATCAGCAGATGTGCTGAATGTGGCTCATAGATGAACTCATAGTAACAGACCTACATTTCAGGAGAATGTGTGTGTCTGAGGCAAGGGCCTTCATATAACTGATAGCTCTCTTTTGTGTATATATCCTCCTGAGACCCAAGGGAAAAAGTGTCCTTAAATTTTAGGTTATTTGTCTTTGGAGGAAATAAGACATCTTACAATTTAGATTTTTTCAAATTTATTTTTATTTTTAATTTCACAGCATGTCCTCTTTAGTGTACAACAGCAATAAATATGTTTCCTTACATCAGTGAAAAGATGCAAAAACAAAATGTCCACTACAATGGACATAAATGAATGGGTGGGGTCTCAGGAGGACATGCATGTGTCTAAATGTGTGTTGTTAAAAGAAATCTTTATAGACATTACAAGAAAATGCCTTTAATCAATAAGGCCGGTTCTGTCTTATTTTCTACTTCTATGAAATTTCCATCATCTTGTCCCTTATATTTTTTACTGACCATATCCATACGCATATTTATCATATTCAGATCCAGTTATTGTATATTGTATGTTTTTATGGACAATGTGCTGCCTTTTTATGGTGTGTGTGTGTGTGTTTGAGAGAGGGTGTGTGTGATCATGGGGAGCAAGAATGAGTGTGTGGGTGTCTGTCTGTGTTTATGCCTGTGTATGTTTGTGTCTGTGTGTGTGTGTGTGGGTGTGTGTGTGTGGGTGTCTGTCTGTGTTTATGCCTGTGTGTGTTTGTGTCTGTGTGTGTGTGTGTGGGTGTGTGTGTGTGGGTGTCTGTCTGTGTTTATGCCTGTGTGTGTTTGTGTCTGTGTG